TAATATCTTATATTTTTTTTTTGGTAGGAAGGGGCTGTGAAGCAGCAAGGAATAGTTAAAACAATTTGTTATAAATCAACAGGCATAGGCATAAATTCCAGCTCCATTATTTTCTAAGTGTTCAGCTAGTTTTTAACTTATCAAAACCCATTACATCATTTGTAAAACGAAGGTAATAATTCAGTTCAAACATCCCAAATTCAAAAATTGAAAATCTGAAATGCTTCAAAATTGCTGGATTTTTGAGTACCCGTGTGACACTCAAAGGAAATTCTTATTGGAATATTTCCAGTTTCAGATTTTAGGATTTGGAAAACGCTCAAGCAGTAAGTAAGTATAATGTAACTATTCTAAAATCTGAAAGATTCTGAAATCTGAATATTGGTCCTAAGCATTTTATGTAGGGGTTTTCAGCCTGTACCTACATTTTAGGGTTATTGTAAGGATTATTGGTATACATTTGCCACACTTACAGACACTCTCAAAGACATAGCCATTGTGTCAGAAATCTTCAGGGTATATAGCGTGTACATGGAATATAGTATCTTCCATGTGAATCAGATACATTTTTTTCTCTGAAATATGTAAGCCTTTTATGTGTCTTTAAAAATAAAGTACCTAAAACATTCTCTTTTGGCCTCTATGACATCACATACTCTCACTTTACCTTCTTTTTGGGTTGCCTCCTTTTCATAGCTGGCTTTTCCCAAACCTGGCCCCTCAGCAGAGCTTACTTTTTAGCTCTACCTTTGCAATATTTATACTTCCTCTCCAGGTGATTTCATGCATTCTAAATATTTTGTATATTGATGACCCTCAATTTACATCTCTAAACCAAAACTCTCCCCTGAGTCCAACCTTACATATTCACTTTCCTGTTTGACATCTTTACTTGGATACCTCCAAAGCATCTAAAATTTTGCATTTTCAAAAGATCATTAATTTTCTTCTGCCCCTCACCTGTTTATGTACTAGTCTATCCCATCTCTACTAATGCTGTCAAAATGCACTAGGCTCTCAAACTGGAAGCCTCGGAGTAGACCCTGATTCCTCTCTCTACCTTACTACTCACATCTAGTCCATCAGCAAGTACTGTTGATTCAACTTGGAAAATATGTCTGACTGTGACCACTTCTCTTCATATCTACTGTCACCAGTCATAGAGAAGTCACCATCATTTCTTGCTAGATTATTACAGCTTTCCTTATAAGATTTCTTCAATTGATTATCCAGAAAAATGAGCAGCCAGAATAACCCTTTCTAAGACTAAATTGTGCCAGTCATTTGCTTAAATCTCCTCAATGACTTTCTGTTGTACGTAACATTATTATTACTTTTTTTTTTCTTGAGACGGAGTCTCACTCTCTCACCCAGGCTGGAATGCAGTGGCACCATCTTGGCTCACTGCAGCCTCCTCCTCTCGGGTTCAAGCGATTCTCCCGCCTCAGCCTCCCAAGTAGCTGGGATTACAGGTGCTTACCACCACATCCAGCTAATTTTTCTATTTTTGGTAGAGACGGGGTTTCACCATGTTTGTCAGGCTGGTCTTGAACTCCTGACCTCAAGTGAACTGCCAGCCTCGGCCTCCCAATGTGCTGGGATTACAGGCATGAGCTACCATGCCTGGCCAACATAAAAAATTTTTGTAAGAGCCTACAACATCTTACATGGCCTGGACCTTTATTGTCTTTCCATCTTCACCTCGTATCACCATCCCTCCCATGTTCTTCATGTTCTAGTCATGCATTTTACATGACTGGCTTTTTTTCATTCTTCTGTCTCTTTTTCTTTTTTCTTGGAGATGGAGTCTTGCTCTGCCACCTAGGCTGGAGTGTAGTGGCGTGATCTCTGCTCACTGCAAGCTCCGCCTCCCAGGTTCACACCTTTCTCCTGCCTCAGGTTCCTGAGTAGCTGGGACTATCTTTTCTTTTGTTAACTTTAATTTTAAGTTCAGGGGTACATGTGCAGGTTTGTTACATAGATAAACTTGTGTCATAGGGATTTGTTGTACATATTATTTCGTCACCCAGTTGTGAAGTCAAGTATCCACCAGTTATTTTTCCTGATCCTCTCTCTCCTCCCACCCTCCAGTAGGCCCCAGAGTATGTTGTTCCCCACTATGTGTACATGTGTTCTCATCATTCAGTTCTGACTTATGTGTGAGAACATGCAGTATTTGGTTTTCTGTCCCTGTGTTAATTTGCTGAGGTTAATGGCCTCCAGCTCCATCCATGTCCATGCAGAAAACATGATCTCATTTTTTATGGCAGTATAGTGTTCCATGGTGTATATGTACCACGTTTTCTTTATCCAGTCTATCACTGATGGGCATTTAGATTGATTTTATGTTTTTGCTATTGTGAATAGTGTTGCAATGAACATATGTGTGCATGTGTCTTTATAATAGAATGATTTATATTCCTTCGGGTATACACCCAGTAATGAGATTGCAGGGTTGAATAGTATTTCTGCGGTGGGAGTATAAATTAGTTCTATCATTGTGGAAGACAGTGTGGTGATTCCCCAAAGACCTAAAGACAGAAATACCATTTGATCTTTACTTTTCTTTGTATTCATCAGGTTTCAGCTAAAGTTACCCTTTAGAATACCAATATGTAAGGCCCACAAGTATAGGGCGCTTGTATATTTTGCTTACTCTTGAATATTCAATTCCCAGGACAGAATAATAGCATATACATACTATAAATATTTGTTAAATGAGTTAATGAATAGATGAGGCATGTTAGGTGCTCAAAGAAAGATAATAATGATACTTACCAATGAATATTATTACACTTCTTTTTTACATTACTCTCTTTCACTAAATAGTTAATAATTTTTTGTTAAATGAAATAAGTAACAAATTTCACATAACTTCAAAAGGCAATATTTTAGTGTTTTAATATATATACTGTATCTCAATATGTAGGGGTTTCATAAAACAACTTAAATGAATAAAATGCATGGGATTGATATTTCAGCTACATGAGCTGACGGGACACTAGGTCTTTCATATCACTTTTATGTTTTCACATAAAAAATGAGTCCTGTTTTGTTATTGGTTCACTCACTAATATTCTGATTTAATCAGAAATTGTGCTTTCTTTAACTTCAGATTTTTCTTTTTGTCTATAGTAGAATTCACATGACCGTGAGAATAATTATTTTAGATTTTGGGTCTAAGGAAAGTGAAAGAAAGATTTGGTAGTATTCAAATGATTTGCCAATGACAAAACTAACATTAGTCTTCATTTGTTCCTCCGTGTCTACAATGCCAACTTTTGTACCAAAACTATTTTTTTCTATATATTCCCAAATGTCTAGTTATTCTGCAACATCTGATTATTTGATGAAATATTAAAAATTTAAGCTTTTGTCGCTGTACAGAGGAAGCCTTTCTCTGTTGCCATAGGAAACAGTAGAAGGAAATAGTGAAAATGCTGGTAGGAGGGATTAGAAATATGATTCAAGTTATGTTTGTTTTGTGTCTGGTCTTAAATTTTTGTAGATTTGACGACCTTTGAAACCATTAGTATTCTTGTAAAAGTGCGATATTTGCATACATTCCTGAAGAAACATCACCTGTTTTTGAAAGTCGGTGATTAAAAAGATAGTCACTTTAAAATAATTTGAGATCCTTGGCTGGCAAAGTTGATAACAAAATAAGTCTCTTACACAATTCCCCTAAGTTATCAAATCACTAATTTGTCAGTTATCTTTTACAAATTATGCTAGAATTTGCCATAGAAAATTTGGGACAAAATTTCTTTCTTCCCAGGAATTTAAATTGAAATAGATGATGACATTCACAGCTATACTAAATTTCTACCTGGCAGAATAGTTCCAAACATACATCCTTTTAGACTTTTGAGCCTTAGTGATGTGGAATCTTTTTCTGGATCAGGGCTAGAGGACTGATTACTGTGAATTTTATTACAAGACTCTGTAATTACTTTGAAGTCTCTCTGGAGGACCAAGTAGGTTGCCAGAGAATTTTCTGTCCTCACGACCTAGCCACAGAATGCCCTTGAAAATTTAATAACAAAAAGATGTCGTTTTGAAAAAAAAAATATATATATACCCTGTTTAATTTATAAAGCATTTATTTAGTTGATATCTTGTATTGATTCACATAGGGGACAGCCTAGCACATAGTATCCCCATTTTTCAGGTGAGCAAATTCTGGTCCCGAGAGGTTAAACAGTTTACTAATACTTCTTAATAGAAGAACAGGGATTGAAATGTGAATATTATTTTCTCTAAAAATTGGTGCTAATTTGACACTTCCTTGCTGCCTATTTGGGGGACATTGTACTCTATAATTTCCAAACCTTTTCCTTTCTCTTCTACAGTTTGTTTAACATGAAACATCCACCTTTCTTCATTTGTTTTTGTTATATCTTTCACAATAATTAGACACAATACTTATTTATTCCTGGGAAGATTATTCAACTTGTTTGACATTGCATTTGGAGAGAGATTATGTGGGGTATTTTTGAAAAGATAATTTTATTTTTGTAATTGCATAATTAATTACATGCTCAATGCTAAATATTTCAAAAGAAAAGAAAGCATAATGAAAATTTAACAACAGTTAGCCACACTTTCATTACCGAGAGATCACCAATGTTTAATATTTTGGGGTGCATACTTCTTGAAGTTTTCTGTTCCTGGTGTAGTTTTGCTTCTAGGATGCTCTGTCATCTCTGCCTGAGAGTACAGTACAGTTCTGACTGCGACACACAAGGTTTGGTTTTGTGTATTGCAGGTGAACAAATAAAGACTATTACTCTAAGCAAGGCAGGGTCAAGAAGCTACATCAGCTACTTCATCAAATCATAAAGGAAGCAGACAAAGGAAAGTCAGAAACATTTTTGAATTATTTTTTCTTTGTTATCTGCATCATCAAAATGTTTTTTCTGCTAACATGTATTATAGAACTTCCTCAAACTAGTTGCACTTATGTTTGTTAAAGACCCATGTTATTATTTTTTTTTCAGGTTTAGAAGATCGTGACCACATGGATCATCTAACTGAATGGTACATGGGGACACAATGGTCCTATAGAGAATATATGTGAATTGTTGGCTAATTTCTTGATTTGCGACTCAACATAGGACATCGCTTGTTCATATCTATCAGAACACTCCTGAATTTTCCCCACCATGCTATCTTTATTAGCTTGAACTCCTTCCCTAAAATGGTCCTTCTGTTGATCCTGTCAGTCTTACTTTTGAAAGAAGATGTCCGTGGGAGTGCACAGTCCAGTGAGAGGAGGGTGGTGGCTCACATGCCAGGTGACATCATTATTGGAGCTCTCTTTTCTGTTCATCACCAGCCTACTGTGGACAAAGTTCATGAGAGGAAGTGTGGGGCGGTCCGTGAACAGTATGGCATTCAGAGAGTGGAGGCCATGCTACATACCCTGGAAAGGATCAATTCAGACCCTACGCTCTTGCCCAACATCACACTGGGCTGTGAGATAAGGGATTCCTGCTGGCATTCGGCTGTGGCCCTAGAGCAGAGCATTGAGTTCATAAGAGATTCCCTCATTTCTTCAGAAGAGGAAGAGGGCTTGGTACGCTGTGTAGATGGTTCCTCCTCTTCCTTCCGCTCCAAGAAGCCCATAGTAGGGGTCATTGGGCCTGGCTCCAGTTCTGTAGCCATTCAGGTCCAGAACTTGCTCCAGCTTTTCAACATACCTCAGATTGCTTATTCGGCAACCAGCATGGATCTGAGTGACAAGACTCTGTTCAAATATTTCATGAGAGTTGTGCCTTCAGATGCTCAACAGGCAAGGGCCATGGTGGACATAGTGAAGAGGTACAACTGGACCTATGTATCAGCTGTGCACACAGAAGGTAAGTTTTCTTTGCATACATCGAGTATCTATTATTATACACTCAACGGTTAAAATTTCAAGTTTGGGAAGACTAAACTATTCCTAATTATTTTGGATATTTTGAATTGTCCCAGTTATAACAGTACTATAAGAACAGACTGGATGACATATATCTAGAGAGACATAGACTTAAACTACAAGAGGGTGTATGTGGCCGATATTTGGTTAAATATAATTTTGTTTTAATTGTGAATTACATTATTTCCTTCTGCTATACTGATGCTGTATTATACTTCTGATATAATGATCTTTCTATAGTCATTACTAGAGGTTTTTAAGTCTCTATATCTTCATTGTACATCTCATATTTTTGTCATTTCAAGATTGTTCTAGGTGCCTATTGTTTCTAATAGTTAAAGCAAGGTACACATAAATATACATTGCACTGAAGGTAGTAGCCAGCTCTAACCTAGGTATGTTGTTATAGAGAATTACCAAAAAGTTTAGTCTTACAGCTATTTTTTCAGAAGAATTCATGGTCAAATCCAAAATGGAGATAAATTAATTTTATCTTTGTGTAGAACATATTTGAGAAGTATAATTTTAAATAATTCAACATGTTTGCTTTAAAATGTATTGCTTCTTGATGCTCCAATAATAGTGAGGAAAGAAAAATCTGACTGATGCTTTATAACAGTGAATAATAAGTAGCCCTTTGCTTTTTATGGTGTTTTAAAAATCATTTGTATACATTATTTGTTAGTTCTTGACCAAGGCTGTTTGGAAAAAATTTGTTTTGACCTCCAGAGTTTGTGACCCAAACGGGGAGACTTACTTGTTATGCAGCTCTTCTTCTAGAATAACAAAATGTATATATTAACACTATAGAGTACTGAAGAAGATACGAAATACTTTTTATAAATCATCGAATTATTGTATTTGTTGAGATTTTTAAAATTCTGCATTAACATATCAATATAGTCCAAACATTTCAGTCCAGTAAAATGTGGAATTAAGTTACTAACTCCACTTCAGAGGTTAGGAATATATTTATGCAACACATATTATGCACAAATATATATGCAAGACAGGCCTGTGAAGGATAGCCCTTTGTTTCGTATATCACAGACTTCAATGGGATTTCAATCTGGCAAATGTAAGTATGCACAAATACTTATATAATCATAATTCAAGATGACACAATGTTACAAATCTGAATCTAAAGGAAATTGATGGGGAAAAAAATCACCTCCCGCTCGGTGGTTATGGGGTCATGGTGGGAATCTTACAGAAGGAAATGGAATTTGACAGTTGAAATTTAACAAGAATAATACTGACAATTGGTGAAAATTAGCAGGGATGGCTTTCAGTGAACAGCATAAGAAAATATGAATAGGTGAGAAAGTAAAAATGTTTGAAAGGGCCAATTATAAAGGTATGTTTTGGTTTGCCTCAAATAAATCATACATTTTATTAGGGACTCCCTTCTAGCTTCAGAAAAGCAGGGTTTGGTCACGGTGTGGCAAATGCTAATTCAGTTGTGCTCCAAGGGAAACTCTTAGTCATGACCCTTGACTTTTACTAGTTAAACTGTTGTTTTATCCTGAATTTACCCCAATAGCAATCTAATAACCTACTAAAATAAGTTATGATGCATTCAAACAATGCATTATCACATAGCTAATAAATAAATGAGATACTCTATTAGGTAATGATTACAATTTCCAAGATCATCTTAGGTGAAAAAAACAAGGTGCATTTCTGTATATATTACATTTTATTTTTTCTAAAAGGGTTTCTTATGCAAACAAATTGATTGGATATTCATAGAATTGTTCTCAGAGAAGAGCAAAACTACTAAGAGTTGCTGCTTCTGAGAAGAAATCTAAGTTAAGAAATGAGGTGGAATATGTTATGCATAATTTTTATATACATACACTTTAAGCTCTATATTAAATACATAATTTACCTACTGAAATATAACTATCACATGAAAACATTCTATTTGTGGGCAAACAAAAGACAATAGAAATTGCAATGCCAAATTAAGGCAAAATATTTAGGTTGTACCACCAGGATTCAGGAGAGAACAGACCTTGGAATTGGACATTCAAAGGTTGGAAGAAGTTCTGCTTTGCTTACTGTTTATGTGGTTGTGTCAAGAAATATTTATCTTGCTTTTATCCCAAGCAAGTATGTGGATAATGAGGTGATGTAGCGTTAAGGCTTATGATTTATCAGTATAAGAATGGCATGGTAGGAATTTTCACAAGGTGAAACTCACCTCCAGGATCAGAAAAATGAGACTCAAACAGGATACAGCTTTGTTGGGTACTGTGGGAACTCTCCAAGGCCATGCTTGTTTTTTTTTGCCACTTGGTTTTTCAGAAAGTCTTGGTGGGATCTTCCATGAAATGATAGTGTCAGTTATCATCCAGTCTCTTTCTCTCACTGGGTTGAGGTGATTTTCTCTAGCATTAGGAGAATTAATCCCAGTACCTGATAATTTATCTTCATGTTCTTATAATTATTCTCCTTTGTTCCATTAATATTCTCTTTCTTGAAGAGTATGGAAATTTCCAAATGCTTTCACATGAACCATTAAGGTCTATGAAAAGATATGGTCCTATTTTCAAAAAACGTTTTTTTCTCCTAATTGCCTATGTATTTTATACTTAAACCTAACCATACTGTGTCACAGGTACTACAAGATATTTCTTCAAGAAAGTGTATATCATCACAGAATTCCAGAGGAGTGTACAAGGAAAACTCGGTTTCAGTTTCAATGTTAATCTCTTACACTTGCTATTTCCTGTGATTTATGGCTTTAGTAGGCCATGTGACTGGGTATTTATTTGTTTTATTATGCAGAAATTATGCCTAGAACTTCTAGGCAAAGAGATTCATAGTATAAAGCAGAAGAAGAAAAAAAAGAAAGTATTTTTAAAGAGTAGATCAAACTAGCTCTTCAGCTTAGAAGAGGAAAGGAATATGTGATGACTCAGAACAAAGGTAAAATCACTTTCTCTGCACTAAGGAAATGTAAAGGGTCCTTCGCCTTAGTACTTTTGCAAACCTTGGTACATGTGTCCATGATGACAAAGGATTGATGGTGCTTGCTTGTTTAGCAGTGTGGCAGATTGCATTGATGACTTCCACTAGTGGTTCCTCTGTATTCACATCATTTGCTTTTGACTCGATAATTCCCTTTTACTTTCATGTAGCACTGGCCTTCTGACTACTTTGACCAATAGCGCTTGGTTGACGTGAGAACTTTCTTCCTAGTTTGTGTTGGAACCCTATCATCACTCTGTGGAGTATGAGAGCACCCAGGTTTTCCAAATGAGTGCATCTTAGACCAGTTGACCTCAAACATGTGAGAGCATGCAATGCAGATCAACAAAATTGCCTTCCCAACCCACAGCTAATTGCAATCACATAATTGAGCCCAGCTGAAACCCTCAACATTACCCAACTGACTATTATTGTGAGCAATAAAAAATGCCTTCAGGATGGAGTTCAGTATAAACATATTCATCCCTCTCACTTTAGTCTCTAACTTCCCTCCTCCCAAATAAGATGCTACTGCTTAAACTTCAAAAGCAAAATGAAATAAATTACCATGTATTAATATTCTTGAAATTTGAATATGAAATAAAACATAATATATGCTGTAGGAAAGAAGGAATATTTAAAATGCTTTGCCCATACTTCTGTGGCTAGAGATGTGATAGTTCCCTTAAAGTCTGAATGTTTTAAATAGTTAAGCACTTGAATATATTTCATTATTATATTTTTTACCTTAGTCTAGTTCAACATTATTGAGAAAAGTAATTATTGCATTGCGTTTTATACAAAAAAAATTATATTGTACTTTCTGGGTGATGGACAAGATTTCACACTTCACTAGTTTTCCTGACTTTCTTTGAAAATCTACAGTATATCCACAGGGCCTATTAGAGTGCCCATCATATAATAGGTGCTCAAAGACTATTTGCTGAATAGAAAAATTTGTGTTAGAAAAGTACATAGCTCACTATTTATGAATATATAGTATGTGGATAAATAGCAGGCACTTGTAAGTTTTTAGTTTTGCTTCTTTATAAAAATGAGGTGTCAAAATGACTCCCTTGATTAATTGTAAAATCCTGTTCATGCTACACCTCATTTTTTGTTTTCACTGGTTCTTGAAGTTATTATTTGTGTCTAATGACAGGAATGCTAATTTATTACAGCAAAAAAAATATCAATGATGTTCTGGGGAGAAAAATGTACCAATAAATTTTACTGGTAGCATACATTATTAAAAATATTGTCTTCAGGTTAACCTAGAAATTGCAGTTTCAGGTTATGATATGACTTCCCATCAATTATTTACTTAAAAATGTGATAACAATCCAGCTTTGATTGAAGGAACTTCAGTGTGATTCATAGTCTATATGCTTGTTTGACTTCTAAAAAGTGGGAGTTCACTTTTCCCATCTCAGCATTTCTATTAATTATCATTATATCAAGACAACAATTTAGCTGGGAAAAATAATAAATGTCACTGTGGAAGCTACTGAATAATTTTTTAAAGGACTTTATTTTGTTTCTCTAGGAGTTGAATAGTGCTGAGAGTTAAAACAAATTTTGGGATGATCATGGTAATAATAAAGACACATAAACTACTATTCATTCCATAGAATGTTAACACTGGACAGGTCTCAGGCCAGCATTTAATCTTCTGTATTTTACGGTTAAGGAAACTAAGATAGAAAGGTCACATATCTCTACCTTGCTTGTCAGATAATTAGTTGCAGAGTTGTGTCTTGGAACTCAAGATTTCTGTCCAGAACTTGGTTTCTAAAACATTGTTGGAGATTATTATGCCAGTTCCTGTGTGCCATTTTTCTACCTCTCCATTGCATTGTTTTATTCCTTCTCCCTTTATCTCAATGGCACCAATATTTCTAAATCACTGGCTGAAAGTGTTAATAACTATCTGAAATAGTAGAAGGGACCACAAATGAAGTAATT